ACTTGTACCATCAGGAAGCTGGTAGTGAAAACTGAAGCCTCTTCAAGAAGGGTGTCTTAGTTTCCTGGAGGTGTTGTAACAAAATACCACAAATAGTGTGTCTTATAAGGTTAGAAATCTATTGTCTCATAGTTCTCCAGTCTAGACGTTCAAATCAGGGTATTGGCCATGTTGATTCCTTCTGAGGTCATTGAGAAAGAACTGCTCTCCTGGCTTCTGGTGGCTCCTGGTAATCCTTGGCATCCCTTGGCTTGCAGCTGCTTCATCTGACTCTTTCGTCACATGACCATGCTCCCTCTGTCTCCCTGTCTCTATCTATTTTCTCCTCTTTTATAAGGGCACATGTCATTTAGGGGAGCCCTGGTGGCACAGTGGTTAAGAGCTCGGCTACTAACCAAAAGGTTGGCAGTTCAAATCCACCAGCCACTCCTTGGAAACCCTGTGGGGAAGTTCTACTCTGAGTCCCTATGAGTCGGAAACGACTGGACGGCAATGAGTTTGTTCTTTTGGTTTTGTCATTTAGGATTAGGACCTATCCGACTCCAGTATAATCTCATGTTAACCTAACTGATAACATGTTTAAAGACTCAAATAAGATCACATTCAAAGTACTTCAACGTATCTTTTGGGAAGACACGATTCAATCCATAACAGTGGGCTTACTCCTCAAAACTCATTTTGGATAGGGACTTAGAGCAGTAGTTCTTTCAAAATCTGGTTCCTATAGTATCAGTGTCAGCATCAACTGGGAACTTGTTAGAAATGCAAATTATCAGGCCCCACTCCAAACTTAATCAGAAACTCTATGGATGGGGCTGAGCGCTCCGTGATCTAACAAACCCTCCAGCTGATTCTGATGCTGGCTGAAGTTTGAGAAACTACTGCCTCAGAGGATAATGAATAGTGAAGAACTCCCTGGAAAGTTGAAAACAATGGAATGAGAGTTCCTTCTAGAGCACAGAATCAAGTCTAATTACGGACATTCCTACACAGCCGGAAAAAAGGGATCTTCACAATACCTACATGTCAGATTTTAAGTTTTCTAAGACTATTATAATAACAAGGAAAACCGAGAAGAATTGATGCATTCGAATTATGGCGTTGGAGAAGAATATTGAATATACCGTGGACTGCCAGAAGAACAAACAAATCTGTTTTGGAAGAAGTACAGCCAGAATGCTCCTTAGAAGCAAGGATGGCAAGACTTCGTCTCACATACTTTGGACATGTTATCAGGAGGGACCAGTCCCTGGAGAAAAACATCATGCTTGGTAAAGTAGAGGGTCATCGAAAAAGAGGAAGGCTCTCAACAAGATGGATTGACACAGTGGCTGCAACAATGGGCTCAAACATAGCAACCGTTGTGAGGATGGCGTGGGACTGGGCAGTGTTTCTTTCTGTTGTTCATGTGGTCACTATGAGTTGGAACCGACTCGATGGTACGTGACTCCTTTCCTTTTTCTGAACAAACTTTCATATTGCAGTTATCTTTAATCTGCTCTGCCTTTATGTATTGGGGATGGGGTGACCATATAATTTGACTCTAATTTCCTAAATAGCCAGATCCTGAGGCTCTACAGTCAGACCTAATGGGGAGAGCTGTGACCAGTCATTGCCAGTAGAAAGTGGTCAAGGTGGTTAAGAAGAGGGTGTGCCTTCTCTACCCTTGTTTTCTCTCCTTCAAGGTGCAGAACACATCAAGGCCCGGGGGGGTGGAGGAACCTGGAGTTGAAGAGAGTTTGGATTCCTGAATCACTGTGTGGAAAGAAGCTACATCTGACCTTGATCACCTACATTGCACATTGAAAAATGAGTAATAAACGTCTGTTAGGTTGAATCACCAAAGCTTTGGAGTTAGTATCTTTTAATAGTATTGTGTAATACAACATTTAGGTCATCGATTCTCCTAGAATTGATTTTGTGAAAGGTGAGCCATGGGAACCCTCATTTCCATATGAATAGTCAATTTTCCCAATACCATATATTGCTTAACTAATACTTTACACACATATCTGTAATGACTGTTCTGTCATAAATCAATTTTTCATATATATGAGGATCCATTTCTAGGCTTTTTATTATGTTGCATTATTTTATCAATACAGCTAACACTATACTGTTGTAATCCACACAGCTTTGTAATAAGGGTTGATCACCTCTACCTAAGTATTTTCTTTAAAAGTGTCTTAAGTATTCTTTGTCCTTTGGAAATTTTGTCTTATTTCTGCCTTTTAAACTTTGTGCCTTTGCACTTCAAGAATGCTTCTTGGAAGCAAGGATGGTTAGACTACATCTCACATATTTTGGACATGTTATCAGGAAGGACCAATCCCTGGAGAAGGACATCATGCTTGGTAAAGTAGAGGATCAGCAAAAAAGAGGAAGACTCTCAACAAGGTGGATTGACACAGTGGCTGCAACAATGGGCTCAGGCATAACAACAGTTGTGAGGATGGCTCAGGACTGGGCAGGGTTTTGTTCTGTTGTATTTAGGGTCTCTGTGAGTTGGAATCGACTCGACAGCACCTAACAACAACACAACAACACTTCAGTTTCTTGAAAGGATAGAGTAACAGTGACAGAAATTACGTGCCCCCCTTAAACAACATATATATGGGGAAAAAATGGTTTCCAGACAATACATAACAGTCAGTGAAGGACTGTGGTCTTTGAGAGAAGGGAAACCTCCGAGGTCATCTAAATGAGTATTTCATTTTAGCAGTGGAGTCGCTAGGGTTGGTGTCCTCCAGTGAGGTAACTCATGGTACCACTCCTCCATGCTAATTACCACAATATTGTAGCTAAAACACGAGAAAATGTGACAAAATCAGCAACTATAAAAACATGAGCAGCAATAAAAATGCGTGCTGGTAGCGCCATGCAGACAAAACCACGTGAGTCAAAATGTCATTGTAATTAGGTAATAATGACAGCTCTGACCAGAATGGTTTGAAGGTTCAAAAGTAAATTAGCATAGAGTTTTAGCCTTGTAAGTATACTGATACATACAAGCTGGGCTTACAAAAACTTTTTTGTTGTTGTTATAACTACAGGGATATTTTTATAAAAAATAAGAAACGTCTGTTGAAATAGTGCACAAAAATTTTATAGACAGTCATTTTGGTGTCACCCCCTCTGACAGTGTCACCCGCTGCGGTCTGCAGCTCCTGCACCCTACTAGTGACGCTACTGTGTCTTAGGGCTTTGAGGTACTTTCTAGCCCACGATTCGGGGACCACACAAGGTCTTGCTCCCCCACTCTGAGCTCCTCCTCCTGTATTTTCTTTCACTCGTTCCACATTGTCCTTTCATTATCTTGAAGTTTAAATTCTTGAAGTTTATTCTTTTAGAGGCTTTCCTTGATGCTTTAATACTGAAATTTAACACAATCTAAAGTTATTCAAGGTCCCTGGTGGTACAATGATTATGCCCTTGGCTGCTGACTGAAAGGTTGGTGGTTCGAACCCACCAGCGGCTGTGCAGAAGAAAAGACCTGATGATCTGCGCATGTAAAGACTGCAGCCTAGGAAGCGCTATGGAGCAGTTCTACTCTGTCCTCTAGGGGTGGCTATGGAGAGGAATCGACTCGAAGGCACACAGCAACAAAAGATGACGCAAATGGTTTGCATTAACCTAAAGGTTGGAGGTTGGAACCCACCTAGCAGCGCCACCGAAGGAAGACTTGTGGGTCTGCTTCTGTTAATATTATAGCCAAGAAAACCCTATGGAGCAGTTCTACTCTGTAACATATGGGACACCATGAGTCTGAACCGACTCTACGACAATGAATTTGGTTTGGTGTTTTGCTTTAAAGTTATTCACTGTCTTTATTCGCCTCCCAAACAATACAAAGCCTCCTTGTACTAATTACAGTCTCCCTCCTCCCAAAGTAAATGCTAATATTTCTCAGTATTTTAATTCTACATTGTTTTTAAAGTCTACAAATTAGGTTTATTCGTTACTGTTTCACATGACAATGTTTGTTTAGGTTTATCCAGAAAATTACACATATCTTTGCATTAACCACTTCTTCTTGTTTCAAAGACCACCTGTTGGACACGATTTTTCTTCTTCCTGAAGCACATTCCCTAGAATTTTTTTTTTGGTGATAAACTTTGTCTCTCTTTTACCAAAAGCCATCATTTTTCTTTTATTTTCAAAAGATAGTTTTTTCTGAGTATAGACTTCAGGTAAGTAAATATTTTCTCTTCACACACTGAAGATGTTATTCCACTGTCTTATGAATTCTATTTTTGCAATGAAAAGTCAGCCTTCAGTTTCACTACTGCTCCTTTGTAAGTTATTTATGATTTTGGCTGATTTTAAGATCTCCTTGTCGTTGATGATCTGCAGTTTCACTGTGCTATGTCTGATTATCTTTTTTTTATTACCGTTTGGTATTTTTTGGGTTTCCAACATGGAGGCTTGGGAGTTTTCAACAATTCTGGAAAATTCTTGATCATTATCTCCTTAAATATTGCTCCCCTCACCCCGATTCTCTTTTTTACCTTCGTCTGAAAATCTACTCAGACGTATGTTAGACCTTCTGACTCTCTACTCCAAGCCCATTTAGCTCTTTTATGTTTCTCATTTTCCTTGGAATTTTATCAGAAGAAATTCTTTGAGATCTTGGCTAAAGTTATGTTCCCTTAGAGAGGTTTTACAATTGCCTAGTGAGCAAAGACTTTTTTTTAATACACTGAAGATAATACTCCAAGTAGCATCTGGAAATCACTTTAAAATTTTTCACTTAAGCTGTAATTTAAACGCACAGGTAACATGAATTTGGACTGCAAATATGCATGAGGACTTGATGCTGACTGTGATTTCTCAGGAGCAAATTTATTTTTTCTCTACCTAGTGTCAGAGTAAATGCAGGCCACTTTCCATGCCATCTGTCCTCTGCTGCTCCGTATCCTTATTTATCTTTCACGCTGCCATGGAGGGGATCAGCCATTGACTTGCAGGTTTTTGCAAGGGTCTCCTATCAGAATACCCACCTTTGATGAGTTCCACACTTACAGTCCTATCGTCCTATCTCTCAGGCTTTGGGTGACCATATATCATTCCAGATACTTTTGAAAATAAAAAAGAAAAGTGATACTGTTAATAATTACAGCAAGGCAACAAGCATTAACTAGTACTGACCTGGGCAAATCAGGATGTGCGATCACCCTCCTTATCCCAAAACAAATATGAAAACTTCAGCTGAAAAGCACCTTTGGGAAAACTGCTGGGTTTGCTGACTGTTGGCCTTCCTGATTGCCCATCTTTATATTTATTTTTTCCTTTGTGGATTATTTAATTTCCTACCAAAGAGTGCGCATTTTTAAAAGGGGTTTCTGAAATGTTTTATTTCGCCATTTTCATTGTTTCCGATTGGAAGGCTGTACTGCAGAGTTAATCTAGCATGTTACCAGAAGCAGAAGTCTTTTCCTTCATATTCAAAGGCAATGCAAAAACTCAATTAGCAAACATTTTCCATAGCCAGAAAATGGCGGGATAAGAGTTGAGATTAAAGGCTTTGCATTCTTCATTCTAAAAGAAATTAATATTTTTTTGTATGTATCATAGCTTCTAGAATATTGCTAGAAGCTGGGGACACAAGTAAATGTGACCATGCGTTGGATGCATTAATAATCTCACTGGGAGAAAGAGCACATAGACATGGGAAAGGAATTTAATCCCAGTCCTGTATTGTAAAGCGCCCAAACTGCTTCCTAAATAAGACAATCTCAAGAAGTTGTGGAGTTCCTGGGTGGTGCAAATTGGCTGCTAACTGATATTTGGCAGTGCAAGCACACCCAAAGGTGCCTCGGAAGAAAGGCCTGGTGATCTACTTCTGAAAAAAGCCTATGGAGGGCAGTTCTACTCTGACACACACGGGGTCAACATGAGATAGAGTCGACTCAAAGGTAACTGGTTTTGTACTTGTTCAAGAAGTTGTGGGGATGGCTACCCTGAGCTGGGTGCTTAGAAAAAGTTCCACAAAAGCTGAACTTTACTAATGCTTTCCTCGATGGTTAAACTTTAAATAGAGGCTTCAACATTGGCCTTAATTTTTAATTCTTTAGTATGAAATCTGTCTGAGCTTACCTTCATTTAAAGAAAAAAAAAATATAACACTATTCCTTAAAATCTTAGATGGACAACGTGAATCAGAAAATGTTGTGTGAGAAGGAGACAGTTTGTTGTTTGACACAGCGAGCATCACTTACAGACCATATCTAGGTGTTTTCTTGTGTCTCTTGGTGTAAGATTCAGATACTTAGAATGCTGACTCTGGAAATGGGACGATATTGAGGAGGTAAAGCCAAATGCTGTATTTTCTGGTATCGTCTTTCTACTATGTTTAAACAGATAAATGGTCCATTTACCCACGTACGAGTAGCATCCTGGGATATTTCTGTCTACTTCCCACTTAGATCACACTTTAGGGTTCTAAGCTGAGAGGTCTTTAGATAATGAGATATGTTTCTAGCATTCACCCTTTGCAGTGAATGCCTTGGAATACAACTAGAGCAATGATGGCCTAGAATGGCAGAGAGGGCTGGATAAACAGTTCATTGACTTTTGATAAATAAATGCAGCATAGCATAAATGCTCAGTCTCAAAAGCACATAGGAATTATGGAAGTTAGTTTGCAAGATGGTGGTATCTTTGAGTGGAGGAACTGTCTGTTACTCATGTTTGTATCTCCAGGGTGTAGCACAGTGCTTTGCATTAGGTTCAACGGATGCTCGTGGCATTTTGCCTGAATAATAAAATTTCAACCTGATGTCGTGTATCAAACCTGTAGGCATGTATTCCTCTGCTCCATAAATCCCTGGGTTCAACAAGCACAGATACAGACTCACATAAATACTATATGTTGCCTATATGTTTTATTTTTCAAGTGTTTGTGGATGATGTTGTGATTAATCAAACAAATTCATTTAGACACATTAATATGGTGTTGGTGAGCATTTTCAGCAAGAAAAGCAATCTGCTCAGGTTAAGGGCATATTTACTAATCATGGAAAACAAATTATATGATTTTTATGTTATCATTAAACATGGAGCATGCAATCATGGAGGCAAACAGAATAGGGAAATAGAGAGTTCATGTTTTAGATGCACTATAAAAACAACAGCAAACCCACTCCCCTGAAATCTCCGAAATGCAGACAAATAACAAAACTTAGAGAATAATGCTTCACCTGCCTGAAATTAGGAGGTAACTCTGACGTCATACGACCGGCTCTTACCTTCTTCCAGATGCCATACGATTAGAATAAATTGACAGAATGCGCCAGGAGTTGCCCCAACTTCCTGATGATCCGAAGCACTTATCAAGTTATAGTCAGTTAGAGGAGGGCATTTGGAATCGCCCCCGCTAATCCCTCCTGGCTTAGTATTCAAGAGCTCTTTTTTGTTTGTTGGGTGTTCACTCCTTTAGAACCTCCTGGTCTGTTTCAAGGATGCAATGTCTTCTCTTATCTTTCTGGGAGTATTAATTATAGTTTTTTTTTTTTTTTCTTATGTTCCTTTGGTGTTTCCCTGAGTGTTTTTTCTCCCTGTTTGTTTGCTTATTTTGGAGTCTCTGGTTCCAATTATAGGCTTCCGTCTATGGCCTTGTTATCTGTGGCTGCCAGCTCATCCTTAAGAGGAAAGCACTAGGAAGCTGTACACTCTGTGTGCATCACTGTGGGGTGAGTGGGTTGAGCATTTCCTCAATTGTGGCATCTTGAGCAGTCTCTCCTCTTGCGTGAGGCGGTGTAGTGTAGTGGTTTGCACATGGACTCCGAAGTCAGACTGCCTGGGTTCATAAAGAAAGCCATCACAATGGAGCCATCACAGTGGAGCCGTCACAGTGGAGCCGTCACAATGGAGCCGTCACAGTGGAGCCGTCACAGTGGAGCCGTCACAGTGGAGCCGTCTCAGTGGCGCCGTCACAGTGGAGCCGTCACAGTGGCGCCGTCACAGTGGCGCCGTCACAGTGGCGCCGTCACAGTGGAGCCTGGTACAACACACGAATGAACAGCTAGTCTTGGAAGAAATACAGCCAGAATGCTCCTTAGAAGCCAGGATGGTGAGACTTCATCTTGCTTACTTTGGACATGTCATCAGTAAAGACCAAATCACCAGAAAAAGACATAATGCTTAGTAAAGTAGAAACCCTTTGACATCGAGTCCATTCCAACTTACAGCAACCCTATAGGACAGAGTAGAACTGCCCCATTGTGTTTCCAAGGAGCTGGTGGTGGATTAGAATTGCTGACCTTTTGGTTAGCAGCCAACCTCTTAACCACTGCGCCCCCAGGGCTCCTGGTAAGGTAGAGGTTCAGTGAAAAAGAGGGAAACCCTCAATAAGATGGACTGACACAGAGGCTGCAACAATGGGCTCAAACATAACAATGAGTGTGAGGAGGGTGCAGGACCAGGCACTGTTTTGTTCTGTGGTACGTGGGGTGGCTACGAGTAAGAGCCAACTTGACTGCAACGAGCGACAATATGGCTAATGCTGTGTAAATTGTATCTTGTCGTTGCTGTTTTTCTATTTCCTTAGAGGAGGAGGGCCAGTACTCTGCTAGGAAATGGAAGCATGAACTTCCAGGGTTATCAGAGCCACGTGGTGCCATCCAGTATTTAGGACTTCAATTTTTCCTTGTTTAACTCTTCCTTTAATTGTATTAAAATTATCGTTAAGTCAAGAGTCTTTCTGGTTCAACTTCTCCATAGTGAAAAGCCTAAAATTCTCCTGGTGTGGAAAAGTACTAATTGTTGGTTTGCACAGGATAAGGGAGTGTGTCTAAGTGTGCAGCTGTTTCTCATGTAGACTTTAAATCAGACTTCCTGTTTTCAGTCCCACTTATTACTGTCTGTCAGAGGTACCTAGTACCTCTAATTCCTGAGCGTTCTGGAATCAAGAAGAATGCGTTAGCCTGCTTCTACATTCTCCCTTCTACCAGCTTCGTGTCATTGGGCTTCGCCATTTATCTATCTGCTTCCAGTTTCTGATATTTCCAATCTTCTTATATTTATAATTGCATTGTCATTTTAGTGTCATTTTAAGGGAAGAAAACTTGTGTTTAATCTTCCATGCTTAAATTGAAAGCTTAAATTTCTCCCACACTTTAGAAAAGTAAATGGCAAGAAGCATTCACGG